CTGTGTCGTCTGCTCTACGACCAGCCTCCACGGCCTATGGTTCTTCGCTGCGGCTACCACTACCTTGACCCCAACAACCTTCCTCTGCGGGCGTGTGGACTAGCCCCGGTACCAATTCCGCACCAGCAATCCATGCAAGGATTGTTTAGTATTTCAGGTGTCACTCTATCTCTCTGGGCACGGAGCAAGAGGTGATGAAGTACTAAATTCTATTCCTTTCACTTACGACCCGAGTAAATAATAAATCCCGTATAAATTACTTTAATCACTTATGAATTACATGGTTTTTCTGAGAATCTCGCTATATGATCGTCATGTAATACTGTATATTCTACACCCAATATAAAACGTGTGGAAAGTATTTGCACTTGCTCGGCGTTTTTTGAATTACGATTCGCGAATTTTGTCTCTGATGACCTTTTACCGAATCGAGCTTTTGCTTTCCACGTCCGATCTAACTTTGTGCCTTACTTGACCACCGTTTTTTAATTCTTCAGAATTTACGGGTGGAACAGACGCGTGAGCGAGCTGCGGCTCCGTTGCCCCTTCACCTACGTTGAAGAGGGGCCGCTACTTCATTTCATTTCACTCGGGCAGCATAGAGCCATTTATTGAAACTGATGGCAATATCTGTCATCTTGTGGTCTTTCAGTAAATCAAAGTTTGCTTCAGCCGTGGTTTCACTCATAGTTTGCTTGCCTTCGAATTTATTTACCAAGTGCTCGTTCACCAAAGTTTTGTTCACGCCGTCAGTTTATGGACGGACACAAAGTTTCGATTGAAAATCTAGAATAGTTAAGCATCAAATACTTCTGCAAAAGAAAATATTTTCATTACAAACTAATTTAAAATTTTCGGGGAAGATATCGTACTTCTTTGGTTTGGTTATTTTACTTATTTATGGAAATTTTTTACATTGCACGCTGCAAATAATATGTTACCATTATACTCTGATGAAAATTTTTTAATTAACTTTGAATATTGACACTGTTGCAGCTGACGTCCATCACAGAGAGATGAATCGCTTCAGCACCTGAATCGATTATGAATAATTGATATTTAGGGATTTAGGCTATTAAATTTAATTAATTATCGAAGTAAAATAAAGCGATGTCAATGCCAAAATTATTTGTACACTCGTTGCACAATATGTTCAAAGAATACTGCAAAAAAATTGAACAGAAACCAAATAATTCAAATTGTACTTCCCACCCGATTTTTATTTTTTTCGATTCATGAATAAATTCATTGTCTCTTACTCGTACACCAACCTGACTCCTACCCTAATTAGTTAGTTGTTAATCAATTGGTTGATTCTTTGGATCCTCCTTTTGATTTTATTTATGCAGTGGCATAATAAATACCTTCGACGGATTTAGCCAAATCACTTCTACGCTTGGGCCTTCTCATGCTACACTTGCAATTTTGTAACTGATTTTAAATCGGAAAACAAAAATTAGAAAGGCATGAAATTTTTTGCAGTTCAATGCGGAAACACCATTCATGTAATCTAATTTGTATTTTTTCCGCTCGCCTTTTTTTCATACCCGTCTACGCCAAATAAGTTTCACGATATTTTATATACTTTAATATCTTAGTTTCGTCAAGTCCGATCGACGGCATGAAATAATCTTAAGGAATGTCTGCTTTTTATTATCAGCGTCGAATAAGGACGTGAAATTAACTGCACCTTCATCAACGTCCTAAAAAGCAGTCGCCCATGATTCTTAAATGATTTCATGAGATCTATTTATTAATATTCGCCTTTAAAAAATATTGCTTATGTTCAAACATCAATTTTAATTTGCTTCTTTGTTTAATTAAACGCGCAAGTAGAGCTTACCACATTTGTAAATACATATATGTAAAGCATCGTATAACCAGATTGTTTGCGACGCGACAGAATATAGACATTTAAGTAAGTTGCTCTATTGACTATTCGATATCAGCATAGAACAGGTAACGTTAGAAACAAAGAGAATGAAACGTCTGTGACGCATAAGCTTAGCATCAGAGGTTACATTTATGCTTCATGACCGACACTGAGGCTCGCTTTTCTGGAGTACGTATTCACCCTGACGTCCTAGAGTCCCAGACGCTGAGTTGGCACTTTACGAGTCATCAGAATAAGATCCTTCCGTGGGGGGACGACGCACCATGTCTATAAAATAAAGGACTTCGCGCTTTAAATGAAGGGAACCAGTAAACAGCAGCAACATAATAATAATGTGGTTGTCACTATCGTATAAGTCTGTCGGCCTGACTATAACTATACTATGGTCGAAGGAGAAGACGCGTGCTACCCGATTTGACTGTTCTGTATTTATCACCCTGTGCTTAGCAGATATCTTTACGGCTTGCACTTCTTCACAATAGGTGTGGAATCCTGTCCTCGGGTGAATAATAAAATAAACATCTGGCTGGTACCAATTTGGCCTTCTGAAAGCTGGCGTCTGTAGTCATAATAGGCGATTTGATAGTGACGCCCAATTTTTTATATATTTGTGAAAAATACAGCACTATTTCATAGTGACAATCAATTCGAGTCAATTCAGGCCACGTTAGAAGTTTTGTGCGGTCAATGTTTTTACCGGTGTTAATCTGCGCTGTCACAAAGTATCTGCCTAATTGATCTAATGCTCGATTTTCAGCGTTCAATCCATCATTGAAGTGCAATTTGTGATTGTAAATTGAAAATTCTTAACAGTCTGCAATCAATAGCTGTTTATTTTATAAGATTTACCTCGCAAGCATATTGTTGGTTTTCCTGACTGTATATACATGTAAGCATTATGTGTTCATCGACAATATCACATCATCCTTCTGCCATTATAATTAAAAATATACAAATTGTACAATAATACACAAATAATGAATAAAAGTTTATTATCAATCATCACTATTGAAACTAAATTAATCTTCGCTAATCGAAGACCTTGTTTCAAAATTTGTATCTTGATAAATAATGTAAGTAGAGAAACCTCTTAATAAAGAAAATATTTCCTTCAACTTCAGAAAAATTCAACTACAGTCTGAGCAGAAGACAAAAAGTCAATAAATAACAATCAACAAACTTAACAACAACAAAAACGAGCAATAAATAGATAGAACTCTGAAGTTCGATGATAATTGTATCGGTCTATGGCGATGTCAAATTTGTAGGCATCAACTAGCGTTCTGCGTCCTCAAAATTGGCACCAAAAGAAGATAAAGTCAAAATTACTTAATTGACATCATAAACTTCAAACTGAAGAAAAAGAATGTTACTGGGTCAAAGTTCTTGTAAGATCTAAAATTTGAGCAAGCTCCGTGTGTGCATACATGGTTTTCATGACGATTTTATAAGTCAAAATTCAGTCAAAAATATAGAATTTTCACAATATGAGCAGCAGAATAGCCAATCAGCAAATTTTTCGGAGCAATTTCAGAATTTTTGGAATGTGTGGTTTTCAGAAACAGTGAGTTTTTTTTTTTGAAGCTGTGCAAATAAATCTTGAGCTTGTCATCTGATGCAGCCAATTAAGAGACTCGTCTAGGAGAAAATAATTCTTGTGACCACTTCATGAGGTGTCGTGATATCCGAAATGGAGCTCCACATCGGCAGTGCTGCATGAGCAAGGTTGTTTACTTTCGCGATGCATTAGCAACTTCGTTCACGATTTCGAGCGCCTTTGTACCATCACACCTGTAAAATAACATCAAAATCAGCAATGATCTCAGTACATGTCAGCGACAAATCTTTGCATGATATGTTTACACCAACATCTATTGTCGATAATGAATTTTAAAAAGTTTGTACGTGGATGTCTGTTTGATCCGAGCCAGTTTGAGTGGATACCATTGTATATTATTTTCAACTCTGTTGACGTGCGGTTGAAAAGTTTTTAGATTCCTAACAGAACAATTATTATGTACATTTCATTCAATAACAGTTTTTCTAAAACTTCCGGAACGGAGAATAAAATATATCTGCTTCTTACAACTGGACCGATGCAAAGGAGGAATTGCCGACCGTATTATTCCAATCGATACGTTCACTTCTTAGGCCTTATTCGATCTCTGAATAATAGTCCGACCTCTTAGGTTGTTATACATAACCTCACGGGCAACTTGAACATTCTTGCTGACTACTTCCCTTGTTGGCTACTTGTTCTAAGCAATTTTCACAATTAAATCCCAAAAAGTAACCTGATGTAAAGGCACTACACAATGCCTATCATCAAAATGATCCTAACACATATTTCAGCTTTTCAAACAAATATGACTCAATATGATGCTAGATTACGAGTAATATTTTACATTATTCAAATAATTAACTAACAACAGAAGGAAGTATAATTTTCTTTGAGGAATTACGGATAGTTCACGAAACATAATTAAAGTTGTTACTGCTGTTCTTGGCCGCACTTCACCTTATTCATATGAAAACAAAAACAAGAGCACGCAAGTTCTAGAAACAGAGCGCCTTGTCAATCGACTTTTTAACTTTACTGGACTGAATTTTACCATTATAAATTTGTGCACTTATGCTGCCTGTCGAACACTCGGAAATAAGAGATGTTCCTGAAACTCGGACCACGATATTTGCGAGGTAGCAAATATGCATTTGCCATATCTTTGTTTCTAATCTGCCTGTCCCGTTACGAACGCCGCACGGCCTGACATGCCTGCTGAGAGACGCTGTGTAAACACGCGCGCAGAAGCGTCGCCGTGATACTGAACAACTGCTACCGTAACGGTTTGTGATGCTGACGCCACCTTCACCCGGACAGATATCCATAAATATTCTCTATGAAGGCCCATTCCATCATATTACCATCTGTACATTCTAATATGTCATTGCATGAATATATTATACCGACTAAATTAGTACGATCGTGTTAGTACGACACGATCGCTGAAGACAGTTAACGGAAAATATTCAAAAATATTAAGAAGCGTAAGAGTAAACTAGTGCGTTTCGGTACACTTACTTGGGGAACATGGCGTCACACTCGAGGGGCTCCCAGTCAGTGAGGGCTCGCCAGACGCTGGACACGGTGTCGGTCTCGCGGCCCTCCTTGTCAGTCAGAACCTTGAGCCCGACGCTGTAATGAAAAAATAACATCGTTAATAATGTCGACAGATTTCAGTGATTAAAAATAATTAGTATCTAATGTTTGAAAATTAAAATATGCGCCATTAATTCAAGCAAATTTTCAGTTTGAGATACAACACTACTGCTTCAAATTATATAACAAAATATATAAAGTTTTGTATGCTACTGAAAAACGCTAATAAAGTTTATAGTGCATGAAATATGTATTAAAGAGTTTTTACAACATTTTCTCTAAAACAGATGTCTAGAAACGATGTATATAAATTTCATCCATTTCAAACATTGAGTAATTGTCATCGCTAATTGAAATTTAATCTCATGCCATAGTTCATGCGAAGTAATTATTATGAATAGTATCATGCATTTAGAGAAATAGGTGATTTAGCTCCGTGTTTCTTAGATATATAATGGATAATAAGCTGAAAACATTTGAATAAAATGGGAAAATTCTATAATTGAAAAATAATTTAACCGAGAAATTTAGCATAAATGTTATTGTATGGACAAAAAAAATCGTAGGAAAAGAACTTAATGAGATATCTTCTTCATATTCAGCATAAGTATTATTCTTATTATGGTCTAACGCCATTCATCATATTAATATGCTGTGCGTCACATTTTACCAAGCGCCAAGTATCTTTTGAAAACGACATGATACTGACCGTTGTGTTGAAATTTAAGAGTTATTTTCTACTAATATATGTTAGTCACGGCTCTTAAAAAAACACAATCAAGATTCACCCGCCCTGCACTAACAAAGAGCCTGTTTGTTAGAAAAAAATTTGATCAGCCATTATAAGTCAATGTAAGGACATTACTATAGCGAATGCGTGGTTGCCTTTCGAAGTTTAAAGTCACGCTCGCATTTAATCCCTTTACGAGGACCGTGCTCATTGGTATTCCATAGAAGTTAGAAAGTGCGAATATTGATATTCAGGTTCAAATGGTCGCGTACAGCAAACCCGAAAGGGAAAGTACAAATTAGGAATAAACACGTACGCTTCCTGGCTATAAGGGCCCTCGATCCTACCACCTAAGGATGGACGTGAATTGCAATCTACTATCCAAGAAGCTTTCTCTTCACAACGCCAGGCATCAGCACCTGTCGCTCCAACTTTCTACATGACAAGATCGATGACTGACTCAATATGTTAGCCTGCATATTGAAATCGGTCAGCATACTGAAGGTACTACGATTTAAAATCGGTGGTACTACGATTTAAAATGTTTTACTTAGACTTTATCTTTGCAACAAAAGAAATCTCGAAGAGAAATTTGTTTCAAAGTACCAACGCCATACCTATGCAAGTAAAACTTAGAAAACCTCCCAAAAGAAATTTACACGATATAATCAACTCCTTAACCGCACTTCGTTACAATAATCTTCCTATTAGCGGAATTGAAGCTTCTCTGAGCGAACAAAAGCCTTCCTAACTCAATGACTTTATTCACGAAAAGCTGAAGTGCCTTAACATATTAATTTCGTATAGAAAAGAGAAAAAACTTTCTAATGAGGAAAACATTATTCAACCATTTTTCATTGCTTTATAATATTTCTTGAAACATAACCTTCTACTGAAGGTACAAAAATTTTATTCCCATCGATACGCCTAGACTCCAGCTGAGCGCATCGCAGCCATGGCGCTGTTCATGGCGCGTATGCATGCACTCAGTTTAACCGTTACTCGGGACGCTTTGATGCGGTCCACAAACAACGCTTTTCGTGACTCATTTATTGACCTCAATCACTTGTGAGCATTTCTGGGACACTTATTCTCCAGCATAACGATTCGTTGTTTTTATAAAAAATATTTAAATGTGATAAATATTATATGGTCAATAAAATCGAATGAATACTGTACTCCAGTTCTTCAGAATAATTATTTAGAAGCCTAGTTTTTTAAGCAAATTAGTTTTGTGTTGTTGGCTCGGTCTACTTTTGTGATACTTTTTTTACGCTGATGGAAGGATCCTTTCAGGTTTCATTTGATGTGCAAGAGATTCGGAAGTCTAACTTTTCACCGACATTTTCAAAAATTTCGAGAAAGCAATCGCGGCCAGGTAATCTTAAAAAAATTAGTGAAGCATTTATGTGTATTGAATTTTTCCACCAGCCAGACGGAGCACAATTAGAATTTGGTAACTTCTGATAAAATACTACTACGGTCTACGGATATTTAATGCGGATTACTGTAATTTGATGCAATTGTCTGGGTAGCATATGGTTGAGATGTACAGCGACAGCAATTCCATGGTAACGTGTTTCAAACAACCTGCCGGAATGAGGCCACCTAATGAAGCGCTGGTAACGGGAATTGAGAAAAACTTGCTGGACTGAATATTGGAACAGGTTTTACTTTTATCGCTGGCCCAGAAACTTTGTTTTGCGCTGTGGAAACCTGATCGCATCTTTGCCGAAAGATTTACCGGTGATTTTCGCGAATCATTCTGAAGATTTTTAGGAACAGAGAATTATTTGTTTATTATGTACAACGATGGGTTCAGTTTAGTTCACGAAATGCGTAATCATGGATCGAAACTCACCTCTTCAAGTTAGAAGTTAAAACGCCCCATCCATTTTCACGAGAATTGGAGTCAAGATCTTTGCAATAGAGAAGCATGAGGCAGTCTAGCGCATAATCATACTGCATATAAGCGGAACCGAAGTTAAGCAATGTTTTAAGCGCAGGAAACGCGCTATTTTCGAAACGTTCCGAATGGGATTGTGAATCAGGTACTTCTTTCGTTTCTTGGACCGAATCAGCACTAACCTCCAACGCACTTATTGTGGCATCTAATTCGCCGTAATCTAACGACGGTTCACCAGTGACATAGTCCGGAGTAGTGGCATTCGTTAACCCAGAATCTCTCATAATTGCAACTCTCTTTGAGAGGGCAGATAGATCTTTCCCAGAAAGTGTTCCTACTTTTTCAAAGAGAAAACTCCATATGTCAAGGAAAGTATAAGTTAAAGAGTACAATTCAAAGGCGCTCAAGGGTCGCCTCTTTCTTTTGAAAAGAATGTCATCATAGCGATCCAGTGATTGTGCAAGAATTGCCCGCATATTCCTCGAGACCGTGCCATATGCAGAAGATTCTTTCACAAAATCTCTTAAGAACTCACCGGTATTCTCCTCCTCTCCCGACCTTGATGATTTTGAAAAGGGTACGAGTGATGAAGCGACTTCGTACATCCTCCGAAGTGTACCCACAATACCATTTGATTTAGACTGCGAGCTTTCGGTATTAGGGCCATATCGCCGCTGGACGGGGCCACTCAAGATATGGAAAGCTGTAGGTTTCGGAATACCTTCTTGATTCGAAGGAATTCGTGAGTTTTGTACCGATAACGGATGAGGTAAATTATGTATTTGTGATTCGCGGGACTGGAACAGGGGACCATGTCCTCTTCTAGCAGAAAAACTATGCGGATCATCGTGGGCAATTCGTGGCCTGACTCCTGCACTAATATGCGACCTCCGAACATAAGGGATTGGGTGAACTGTACCAGGTACCGATACTCGAACATCACTCGATGCTGGTAATAACTCTGATCCAAATATTTGTCTTCTTTGTTGTTCATTTGATCTGCTTTGGCCAAAGCGTCTTGCAAAAACATCAGAATGAGATTCATCGCCAAAGTATCTAGTGTAGCCTGGGTCTCTCCCATCGTTGTCATCCAGAATTACTTGAGAAGCGTCGTACCTGCTCTTGAATACTTCTCTGTGGGGATCAGGTTCATCTTGGGAGTCGGGTTGAGCTTCAAAGAAGAAAGCTTCGACTGGGTTAGTAGGCTTTCGATATTCTTGGATTCTGCCGACGGTTGCGTCGGATTCAAAATTTAAGTTACTTTCGTCCTTTGCGATGTCATCTAAACTTGTTTTTGTAATTGTTGTATCATCATCAGAATAAAAACTACCATATTCTGTATATTCTTTAAGTGAAGCTGAGTGATCATGAGGAGATCGATCGATTATTGAGATGTCTTCAACAGGTCGCGATCTAGACAAATCGGACTCTATTTTTTCAGAGGCTGGCCTGATTTCGAAAGATGGTTTAAATTCAAATCGCTTCAACGGCTCATTATCGTCATCAATATCATCAAATTCATTAGATACAACCGATTCAGATTTTATTTCTCCGTTGGAAGATTCATGATTGTCAAAAACAGGACTACTGCGAGGAGGAATTTTTTCTATGACCAAACCTTCTTCAGATGACTTTAAAGAATCGTTGCTCAACAGTTCAGGCCGTTTGGCTATAATGATCTTTGAGCGTTCTTCCTGCGATACTGCGGGCTCTGGATGAACTTTAGACTCTTCGGTGAACCCTGGTGGAGCCTTCACTAGTGTCTCATGCTTGACGCTGTATTCTACCGCTGGGTCAATTACATAGTAATAATCATATTCAACATAGAGATCGTCAGAAGGGGTCGCTTTTGCCGCCTCGTGTTCATTCGATTTTGGTGGCGGATGGACAGCTTTGAAATGGCCAAGAGCTTCTTCAACCTCTTCTGAAGTATTCAAGACAGGATTTTTGCTGTTTTTTTCTAATTTTTCTACATTTGATTGAGTATGCCCGTCAATGGATGCAAGTTGAACGGTTTTCATAAAAGGAAAAATAACTGTCGTGTCCTCTATGGTTTTGTTCAATGGCAACTCCATGTCGTGCGCTTCAGGACTCCAAGGCCAGTTTATTTCCCCATTTTCTTTGGACCCCACAACGATCCATAAACCTAGAAGTAACATGGCCGCTAAAAGAATAATAATGCCAGCGACAACAGAACAAATCACTTTAATGCCCTTGATTCTATATACCATTCCTCGGTAAAGAATATTGACCTTCATTGCCTCATCGGCTGGAGGCGTGGAGCTTTCGCAACTGATCGACTCTTCATGATGAATGCCCTCCAAGTCGTCATTGAACTTTGACTCTGAATATTTATTGCTGATCTTCTCGTTTGTTTCCGTCCAACTGGAAGTTTTTCGAACCGATTCTTCGTTCGAAGAGTAGTTGTCGTCAAACGACCTTCCTCCAGATTTCCTATTGTCATTCAATAATGTTTTGCGCGTCATGTTCTTATCGCTTTGGAATATTCCAAAATTACTGTGAAAATATGTTGCTCATAAAACCTCGAATTGCATTATCATAGCCAATTTCCATGCTCAACGTTTTGTCGAATTCATCATACATCTGTATTTTTATAATCTGATTTATACGTTCAACGAACAAGGTAATTTTGTTTGAAACCACGGATTATTTATGAGTCTTAATGCCCTTATTTTTTACAGTAGCCAGATATGATAATGTTCACGGAAGCAGCGTCGGAGCAACACTACGCCGAGAAACGACGCGACCACCTCACCGAGAATGACTGAGCGAACAACGCGCGCTCAGGGAGCCGCTGCAGCCGCGGTTGTGCCCTCTAGCGATCCGGTCCGTTTGCCGCTGCAACCTAACTGTTCTCACTCGACACACTTCTGACGCTCTCAAAAAATGTCTTTCTGTGCAACGCAAATTGATATCGTCCCTGATATTGACGCGGGATTTTACGCCAGTTAAATAATGAAAAAATCAATTGTGGTCGTCTTCATCTAATTCTAAGACTATGAATACTTTCGACGAATGACATTTTTTCCCCATGACAACAAATTAGTAGGGGGATATTATGGTAATTGAAAAAATTGGAAAAGAAAAAAATTGAAAAAAACTGCTGGACTCGCTATATATTTGCATTAAAAATCGAATGATATGTCTCTCGATGTGGTAGCACGTAAATTGAACGAGGATATTTTTAAAAGGTACCTCTTTTTACCGCTTTTTCTCATCTATGGAAAAAATGCACTATTGTGCTCGCCATGTCCGTCTGTCTGTCCGTCCGTCTGTCCGTCCGTCCTTGACCTCAAGTTTTCGTCGACGAGAAAATGCGTTCTCTGTCACTCACTGCAGTGAGTACTGAGTTATATTTTTTCCGTTTTCCATGCATTTCCCGTTTTCCTTCATTTTCTTATTTATTATTGATTGATGACAGGTTAAAGGTGAAGAAGAAGTCACGTGCAGACCGCTTGTAACACCTGGACACAGCAATAATTATTTAATTCTATTACTCATCTTCTCATTTTCAGTTTCTTTCTTCTCTCTGTCGGTGCTTGCTCTTCACGAGGTCAGTATTCTCTTATGATATGAAGCGATGGCCTTCATTTTCTCAAAAAATAAAATAAAAAAAAAATAAAATAAATAAATAAATCATACGAAAACACAGATCTTGCTTTCGTGTTTTACAAATGTCTGTGAAGTTGCTAAGAGATCGGCCAGTAAATACAGAACTTTTTTTAGACCCAGACGACTCCCTTAGGTCGCCGGTTTTCAATAAAAACGAGCTATTAGTTATGTACAAAAAAAAACGGGAGCACAACTTTCTAGTGAAATCGAAACAGCTTCGTAGTTATTATATGGTAATCCGATCGTACAAATTCTTGTTGACCAGTATTATACGGTTTTTCGTGACGAACGGCGAGGTAAGTGCAGTATTTGCTGAGTAGCGAGAGCTTGTATTATGTAATTGACTGTAGATATATTTGAGAACAAAGCGAAGATATATTTGAGAATTCGAGAATAATTTGTAATGTTTTCAATTTTTGATTTCAAAAGTTTGAAACTACGTACAACAAGATCTAGATTTGAAAGTTTAATGACTTTCATCCCTATAGACGTATATTTACATGTGAAAAAATAATGAGACGGCACCTAATTACTAATCGGTTTTCATAAAATTTTAATAACATTAAGCATACGCCCACTTCACGGTTCACCCCGAGACAACGCATTTATTAATAGTTCTATATTAATAGTTCCGACATCACGATGTTATGTTATGTTATGTTAACACTTTTTTAAAACAGTGCACACTGCCAAGTGCTTTTTATTGACAACGCCGTATTTTTTAGGAAATTTTTGACATTCAGGACTCTCAGTCTAAGGAAATATTCGTTCAGAGTAGTAGTGATTGATGAATTGTAATTTATGGATGGCGACCATAACTACACTCGGCTGCAATTATTGGCATAGCGCAGCGGACATGCGAGTGCCGCTTGGTTGCAATATTATACGAAGTATCCCTTCAAATTTTTACAAAGAAAATTTTTCTGATGTCTGACTATTCTAAAACAAGCCGGAGGAATTGTTATTCCGAACAATCAATAATAATATTAAAATGATGCTGCTCCAAATTAAAATATAAATTCATTTTAAAATTAATTCACAAATAATTGATGAGATGGAATTTAACGGAATCTCACGGCTCTTTAACCACTGTATAGTCTTAAAACTACATTATGTTTACATTAAAAACCTTGGAGGCTGGAGCCTGAAAGATGGGAAACAATTTTCAACGGCAAGACTGTAGAGTAAGAAAAGTTTAAGAATGACGGCTCAGATGATGCAGAAACGATTTTTTATATATAGCTTCCTATTTAATTTATAAAATTTTGTAATTGTTATAAAAGTATTATTCATGACGACATCACCTTAAATCACGAAAATGTTGAAAAGAAATAAATTGCTGACTGTTAGCCAAAAACTAGGTCTGCTAAATGAACAGTAATTTTAGAGTCTGCATAGATTATATATAAAAATACTTCCAGTGGATTGAGCATGGTTAATTTTCACCGAACCTGATAGAAAGTTAGAAATTTTGAGTTCGTGCCAGAAACTGGAGCGATACGGAAGTCATAATTGAGGGAGCGCAGCCGTGCACCACTAATTTTGTGCACCAATAAGCCCTGAATCGAACGCCTTGGATCTCTCCGGACCTACACCAATCAGCCGTGCACCACTCGGCTCTGTCCTCTTCCGGCCTTGACCACCACCTGCCGTACACCACCAGGCCGCGGATCGAATATGACTTCCAGGTATCGCTAAATTACGTAATTTTACGTTCACCGCATCTGAGGTTAGGTTTCGGATAGCATAGTTCTGTTCCAAAATTTATCGTCCTTCGACAAGTGGCCGTTCGACCGAGGGCTGGTTCGACCCACGGCCTAGATACGGACGGCTTGAAGTGTTGAAGGCTACGTTCCGGAAGGCAGGAATCATGATGGTCCATTACATCCAGGGCAGTGGTGGTCTTCGGCAGGCGACCCATAATTGAAATAGCGCCTGCACGTTCACTGCCTTGGTCATGTCTGGACCAGAATTTACTCTGTGCGGTATTCAGATCCCTACATCATGGATGTCATGCATTGCTGCAAAGCTCAAGTGTTATGAATTGAGTCTATGAATGAAAAAACGAGTCGCAGGACGAAATTATGTGCTTTGTTTGAAGTCCGTAACATAAATATTTCATCGACCGTTGGCTTTGATGGTGTATGTCAAATTTGTCCGTTGTTCAGCCCACTATATTTACAAGGCTGGAAGTGGAATATCTTATATGCTCTGTTGTTATGACCCCTAAATTGTTCACAAATAAAAATTGGCATTATTAGATCTCAGCCTCCAGCCCACTATATTTTCAAGGCTAGAAGTGGAATATCTTATATTCTATTTTGTTTCGATTGACCCCTAAATTGTTCACAAATAAAAATTGGCATTAATAGATCGAATATCTTATATTCTATGTTGTTTCGATTGGCACAATCACAAGCAAAAATTGGCATTAGATGTTGGATATTGTAATTTTGTATAAGTTACCAAAGAAAGAAAGAAAGAAACTTATTTCTACAAAGAAATGAGTTTTTCTTCGTAGTTTCAGTTTACTCGTGCATCTCCTTTTCTACACTCCGTTATCCCCGTAAGAGCGTAAACAATGAACGGCTTTCTCGCAAAATTATTTAAATTAAATAGGTATATATTCCATAAAATTCTTCGTAAGAAACATAAAAGTTTTTCCTATAGACGTAACATAATGCACTTTCTAATAGCATAGCTCAACCTTTCGTTGTGGCTGTATAAAGCTGTCTGAAATTCAAGTTGAAAAATTCATAATTACGCTTTCCAGACGGAGAATTTTCCTAAATCCCAAATTTCACTGAGTTGACGTAACACATCCATGCGACAACACCTCTTCTCGCTTTGTGTCACCGACATGTGGAACAGCCTCCCTGATTATATATATATATATTGGCTGATAGCATCGTCGACGCTCCGAGTATGAACGCCTTCAAAAGAACAGACAAGACGAAGCTATGCAGGAGCATATGTTCAATTTTGAAATGCCTAGCACCTTACGGACGCAATAAGTCCAGCAGCTGCCTCAATCAATCGTCAGTTACGGTCTTATGGAGAGATCGGGCTCAGAAGGCCGGATCCCCTGCGGAATCAAGCCACGAAAAGTACAAGAATCGGCAACAGGCCATGGGCATATTTCTTCTGTGCCGACACTTCTGTTCTATAAAATTAATTATAAGACGGAATTTCAATGCGTGTAGATTTTGCAGTGCAAAGACGTGATCGTCTCCTAAGCAGGCCTTCTAACTCTATCAGCGTACAGGCAAGGCTCCCTAACTTTGTAAATCTCAATTTTAGATGATTGCTACTTAAACCAATATGATGAGGTGCAGAAATATTCGAATAAGTGATAGGATATTTTTAATTGATGGGATTTTAATTTAATGGGATATATTTTTTACGATGATGAGTCTTCTCCCATCATGAGTAATTTGTGACTTAAACAATTGTTGGCAATCATGCATTTATACCACAGAAATGACAGACAACCATACAACACAAGTAACACAACAACAGCAGCAGATGGGCTCCTACATCAACGTCGAGCTCAGGCAAATGAGTCAACAGCAGAATGCGCGTGAGGCCGTTGGAGGGCAAAGCAAATATTGCTAATAAGGTTAACGAGTTCATGGAACGGCACTTCAGCGATCACGGCTGCGCAGGCGTCATCAGAGGGCTGGAGATGCCTCGTCAGTATACCGTAACGCCAACAAACAGTGGTGTTTTATGGAGAAAAATCTTCATAAAGAAATTCGTAAAGTAATTGAGGTCGGAGAAATCTAGGATTATATTTTATTCTACTGGTATCTTTCCATTCAACGCTGGGAGCCTCTTCATATTATTCTGATTACATGCGAACATAGGTTTATTTTAATGGTCTTGCTTACTGTAAAGCAATCGCTCAATTAATCGATGCACAAATGTGGCTTGTGGTACCGGAGTCCCTCTATAAGATAATAGATACAAGTTAATTACGGTGTGTGCGAGAGCTTGCCTCAAGTCACGCTAAGTGTGAGAAACACCGAGCACAGACACCGTGAAAGCGACGCCGTGGGCCTGAGGTCGCGCATTGACATCTCTATCTTGCAGTATCAACAAGCAAAGATATCTCTTTAATCATTACTTTGTTTGCAT